CAAGCGCCCGAGTGTGACTGAGGCACAAGAGCTCCACCGCACCACCACCAAGAAAAACCTTCTCGTCATTTAAAGCGTGATGGAGACGATACATTAAAGTCCAGAACTGGTCTTCAATGAGCTGCAGCTTTGAGGCTACAGTGGTGGTGAGCACGGCCGTGAGCAGGGCAATTCCTCGTGCCTTTATCCTGACTGGCACAAGCTCGCCCAGATCCACAGCACGCCCGTCACGGGCCTTCCACAGCTCCACCCGAGCCCCGCGCCCCACACAGGCGGCGTCCAGCTGGCTGAGGTAGGTCACTGGGTGGGCACCGGTCACCTCCCCGAAGGCACACAGCACGTGCCCAGTCACAGAGCCAACCACCAGTATGCCGCTCGCTACGCAGCTCTCCATTAAGTTCTTGCACACGTTTCCTTTGACCAAAACCAAGTTAACTTCAAAGCTGGTCAGAATATCTAATGTGCTGCTCAGCCACGAGTCTTCTGCTCTGCCCTCCCCTAGGCTGGGATGCTCCAATACAGTCCTTACATTACACGGTCTATTGAAACCTAAGTGGCGATACCGTTCAGTTAGGTCACCATCCATCAGCAGAATTTGAAGGGCTTTGTCTTCAAACCGTTTGACAACTGTGGCTTGTTCTGGTGACACTAATGTGACAAAGCCTGTGGAGACACCAGAACAGCTTTCAGGCAGGCCCAGTAAGCAGCATGTCACCACTTCTGCAATATTGAACTGGGGAGAGCCGCTGCTTTTCGCTCGCCCTTGTTGATACTCGACAATGCTTTGTAGCAGCTTCCTATCAGTCTGATTTCCATGGCTCAGAGCCACTGCCAGGTGTCCTAAACCAGAACATTCACATGGATCTGCTGATGGTCCTGAAAAGTATCCCTGAAAGTTACCTTGCTGACTTGAAAAATGGCTTTTTCTTAGAGCGCTGAAGTACCTGCTATGGGCTAACTTCTGCTTGTTATAGCCAGATGCAGTAACACCACTTCCAGAAATCAGAGATGCACTTTTGCCACCCACTGGTTTGACAAGAGAAGCTGTTGAACCGAAGCTGCTGAAAGGTGAAACCAGGCGCTTGTTAAAATCACGATCAACTTCTTGATAGGAACTAGCATTTATTTCAACTACTTCTTCTGGTGCAGAAACATCTTCCTGAAAATAGAGGGAAATCTGAGGGTTTAAAAGACTGTCACATCCAATTTGGCAAGTTTTGCTCTTAACACTGCTACAACACAGCTCTTTATTGACATCATGTATTGATATTTGCAGACACTGGACTCTCTCACAGCAAGAGTTCAACCCCTCAGACATCACAGACACTATTGCTGAAACAGGAACATTCTGCTGGAGGCACTCCACCACAGCACTGCTCCACACACCAACGAGAAACAACAGGGTACTCATCCCAGTCTTAAACTCCTTGTTTTGTGCCTGAATGGTCTCATTAAGAAGCTGTCCAGCAGCACTAGTTAAATCCAAACTTTCCATCAGTCTAACAGCAGAACAAATCAACGTGCTTTGGTTGGTGCTTTCATCCACAATGAATTTCCAAGATTTCATTGGCCCCAATAACGTTCTTCCAGCTAATGCTAAAGAGGAGAGTTGCTGAAGGCCAGTATGTCTTCTCGCACTGACACCCCTGAGAGCCATGGGCAGCAGGTGGCACCTGTGAACAGAACACAAACTTACTGCCTCATCCTCACAGCCTCCAGAGCACCTGTCTCCAAAAAGTTCCATCAACAGTCTGACGCTGGACACAGCTCCCTTGCGAGGCTCTCTAAAACACTTCTTCATCCTGGGCGCTTTCTAGGAGGCACTGATGGACCGGGCTGTGCACCCCTAAAACCGCCTGGAATTTTTCTTACGGGCAGATAGTGAAGTGCTGATAATTCCAGTGGCTTCTTAAACACAAAGCAGTCCAGGCTGTATAAAGCTGCCACTTCTCTCCTGACCTGCTATCTGGAATTTCAGTTATTTGCCTCACTTAAGGCAAAAGTTCATTAGAGCAGAATAGGCAATTATGCACAAAACAATAGTGTTTTGTACAGATCTATCTTGGTAGCAATAGTTGTGCCATTGACTTTAACCTTCAAATATGGAAAACCATAATCAAAGTACTTCTATTCCAATTCTATTTATCCCGCCGCACACATACCAACGTGTCAGTAAATGCATGCAAAGGAACGTCACTTCCTCACACCTCACAATGCAAACTCCCAGGACTTTCAAATTTTGATCTACTACTCAGTTTTAACATGCCAAAAAAAAATTTTCTTTCCCTTGAAATCCATTCCACACCATAGACCTGTGGCAGACCACATGGATTAAACTCAAACTTCCTTTTTTTTTTTCCCCAATAAAAATGTAAACACACCAAAAACTAATTAACCATATAGCTTTTAAGCTCAGATTCAAATTATTTTATGTCCCTGAAGGTCCCTTTGCGTAACTATTGTAAATTGGAAAAACATCTTTTTCCATCCCACTCAGTGAAAGTCCATCTGAGTATTATCTCAAATTGATAATTTAAAAAGAAAGTCTGTAATTAAAAATAACCTTTATGTGCCAACAGCTCTGAAGTTGTAGTCTAGCTCAAACTGGCCACAGAATTTCTCTTCATTTACTACATACATCTTGAAGTACCAACAGAATCATTAACCAAGAAGTTAGTCTATAGACTGATTTATAATCAATAATTTAAAAAAAAAAACTTTTAGAAAAGCAGGTACTTTTGGCTCTAAAACTGCACGGGGGATGTGAATCTGAAAATCTTGATCCAAGCCACTTAAGGGTTTTTCTAGAAGTACTTCTTGGCCATGTCTTGCCAAGACAGTCTAGTTGTGCTATATATCCATATTGGTACTTCCAGTAATAATTTTAAAATAATTTTGTTAAGGCTCTTTTTGCTCAGCTGGAATCCTTAGCTTAATATCACAGGCATCTTGTGTTGAAACAAACAAACTGAATTCATTAAATAATAAGCATTGGATCATAAAATCCATCATGAAAAATTTTCCCCACCCCCGAAAACCTCATAATTCCATCTGATTTCTCTTGATTTACTAAGACAGTCATTTGGTTTGGGTTTTTGTTGTTGTTGGTTTGTGGGGGCTTTTTTTTGGGGGGTGGCATTTGGTTGGTTGGGTTTCTTTTCTCCGAGATGACTGTTTCTGAATTCAAGCAGCTCCTCACTAGTAATGGCCACTTGTCAGCCTGCTCTTGTTCTGGAAGAAAGGAGAAATAACCAGTTCATGGTTCTCTTCATACCATCCAGGGAAGAGCTGAATGAGCTGTGCTCCAAGGCCCAGCAACGCTTTCTCACCACCTAGGTCCTTCAGCAGGTGGCTCTGGGCAGAAGGTGGTGCTGCTCTGTGGGCGGGAGACAACTACAGAAGGACTGGTAGGAAGGGAGTTTCCACTGGCCAGTCCAGTCAACTTCTTACTCCCTGGTCAAGCCCCAGTGAGGGTCCAGCTCAGCAACATGAGCCACTGTCTTATTAGAATGGTGTTTTCATTTCAACCAATGTGAAACCAAGCCTCGTTATGAGACAGATTAATTATTAGTGCAGCATCTTCTGTCATATCAATGCACTTCCACCAAATCTCAACACAGCCACCTGCAAGTTGCTGAGCTAAAATTTTCTCCCAAATTTAAGGTGAAAAACGTGGCCCTTACTTTCAGCTTAAATCCACACTTCAAAACTAGCTTTATTTTGGATGCCAGCGTGTACTCCTGCAGGTCCACAAACCTGAACCAAACAGACCCAGGTCTTGGCTGCAAAACCAGACGAAGGCAGGGCATGCACTGCCAGGAAATAATGTTTTATTTCATTGATTGCACAACCTCTGGCAAGCATGATTTATGATTTTGTGATACTTATCCCTCCCATTTTGTTTTATGCACATTATTCTGGCAAGAACATTACATTATCCTGTGATGTAGGAACCAATACACGGCAAACCCCAGATGCAACTTTTCATCCCCCCGTTCCGTGACCTCTTTCCTTTTTCCATCCAGTCTGAGGTGGGCAAGGTAGAGGGTCGGATGGAATTACATTTTGGAGTCAAACACAAGTGAGGTCAGTGAGCAAAGCAGGCATCCTGGAGAACAAACGAACAAACTGCTAGTGAAGGACAGCCACACATCAAATCCCAGCTACCGATGGCCTCTGCTGCACTAACCTGTGTGCTGACCTACTGCCCTCACCGCTGACTTCCTTGTCGCTCCTCGCCACGATCACCATGAAACTTGACCTGAGCTTTGGTTCAGGTTTGTGCACGTGGGTTTCAGGGTTCTTAAATGATGAATTCTGGGACACAAGAGATACACAAAACACTCCTCTGCCTTACAGCACCTCTACCACAGAGGTTAAGTCTTCATGGCTTTTATAACAGACTGCTTTAGATCAGTTTTCCAAGTTAATGTGTTTCTGTGAAACGTTATAAAAAAAAAATCTCGTATGCCTGCGCACATTCCCTGTGTATGAAACACTGCTTGCAGCCGAACCACCAAGTGTTGCAGTAACTGTCCCGACTTACCTGGACTCCCCAGGCGCCAGCACCACTGCTGCCACCGCGGGAAGGGAACGAGTCGAGTTC